AATTCTTCATCAAACACAAACGGAGAGAAGTCTTCAGAGAAGTCTTCAGATATCTTTAAAGTCTTTCATTCATCGTTGAACCAATTATCTTCTCCCTCTGCAAGATTCATCATTCTTCATCCTCTGTCCCAATCCTTCTATGTTTGCTTCAGGGATCGGTAATTTTCATCATTCTTCATTGTTGATGCAATTTGTTCAACGTCACCAGCCTTCTGCTTAGTTCGTGATTTGGTTTCCCTGCTTTCATTTTTGCTTTGCAGTGGAAGATCAACGAAGGCTCCCAAGAAAAAAACGAGAACGAGGAACTACACCGAAACGTTGACAAACCAAACATCCAGCTATGAAACGACCAACATCCAGATGCAGACCAGGCCAATACACCCAATTCTGCATTCCTCAACATGTAACCATAACGACTCGCATGAAACCAATAGATAATTTGTTGTCTTGCTGTCGTCGCAACGAACAGCTGACCCCCTCCCAATGCGCAACTGATTTGCATCCACAGCTGTATCCCTCAATTCGGACTCCGACACACGTACCCTGAACAAATTCTATCTTCCAATCCATCTGCTATAGACTCATCCAATTGGCGCGGAAATCAATCGTCGACAGAGTTGACTTGGGGGCCAGTGATGCTGAAGGTTAGCAGTTGTTTGTCCCATGCCAACTCACGGTGATCTTCCACGCCCACCCTTTGTTCCGTATTGCGTGATTTAACGAGAAAGGTGCGGAAACATCTGGAGGGTTAGTCCAAAATTCCCCATGAAATTTTATCCTTCTTGCCTTAGGTCCTGTGGTGTTCCCCTTTTTCCAGGCTGAAGATTTCGACGAGGGCATCTTTTTCCAAGCACCCATAATATTAGTCGTGCATTTTTTTTCTTCCTTATTAAGGGGTTCCAGTGCTAGATTGTGCAGTTTCAAAATGGTTGGCCAAAATAAGATCAAAAGAACAGTTCACCATGAGCGGTCCTATGCATTCAAAAGTGATAAAAGTAACAATCAGTACACAATCTGCAACACATTTGATTTTCTGTACATTCAGCCCATCGAGCAGCCCCCTCTCCATCACATACGAGATATTTTGATCCATTTCTGTCAATCACGAGTGTAAGTTCGCAGCTTGTTTTCAAACAACATGCATATCTCGATGAAAATATTTGGAAGCCAACAGGGCGAGACTTCATGCCCTAGAAATTTCGATAACCTCAAATTTGATCATATTCTTGGTTCAAGTACAGCATCACTTGTAACTAATTTACGATATGCCATTGAGACGACTAGGAAGAAATGGTTGTAATTTTGTTTCTTGTGAAAAAACACGAGAGCATTTCTGTAATTTCATTTTCTATCGTTCAGGAGTTTCGAGCTTTCGAAGTGCAGTCATGTACGTCACCCAGGTCGTCGGCTCCGTGATCCATTTGTTGAAAATTGGAATATAAAATGTGCCTCTTGTTTCGAGATGAGAAAACCCGTTCTGCTCCCCCATTTTTTTAATTTCCGCCGGTTTAATAAACTTGGAATAATAATGTGTTCCCTAAAAGACAAAACAGATGCATCGAGAAGAGGAAGAATCAAGTCCCATTTCTTCGGTCAACCACTTAATAACGCCGAAGTCAGTTTTTTTCTCTTGCCACTACTTCGCAATCAAGCCCATTCGAGAGACAAAAAATGTAGCGCTCACCACTGGAATTAATCGGAGGACATATTCTGCAAAAGCAATGACAAGCAAATAAGACAAAGGTGTTCTATTTGGTGTTGTGATAATCAGAAGACCTCCAGGTTTGACACAATCTGCACAATGGCGAAAGAATGTTTCAGGGTTGTTAACATGCTCAATGACCTCGGAAGCCACTACAATATCGAATTGATGATCAGGGAGCGTTTTGCGATCCTCCTTCGATTCATCACTTGCTGATCGAATCCAGGGATTGTTTTTGATTTCTTCTACTTCTCCGTGAATGTAATGAAGCCGATCTAACGACCGTCGAGTTGAATCTGAGGGACTCAAAGATTCAATTGAAGATCTTCTGTGAGACTCAGCAATCTGTGAAGAAACGTCTGTTTGAAATCATCCTTAAGAAATCATTCCCCCTACTTTAATGGTTTCGACAGAGGGGTCAAGTCCTGTTACAATAGCGCCTCTTCTAGCGAGGCCTTCTGACAAGAAACCACCTCCACAGCCCACCTCGAGGATGCGTGCCCCTTCTACACCAGACTGTCGTGTCTTCCCCGCAATGTCTTGAGAGTGGCGTTCAATGAAGGGAATTCTGACGGAGTTGAAGCGCAAGAGGGGAGCAAAGGGTCCGAGGGGATCCCACCATTCCTTAGCGTGTTGATTGTAGAAAGTCACTTCTCGTGGGTCCGTTGTGATTCCTTTTGTCGATGCGGGTGTGGAGCAACATACAAGGAATGCTTGCGGTGTGAAGAATCGAAGTATTGACGACATCGAACAAATATACTGTGACAGGACTGTGACAGTGGGCAGCTGAAGTATCCACCGATGATAAGTATCCACCGATCAGCATCATCAGAAAATAGACTCTTGAGAGACCAACGAATCCCTTCTTCCACGAATCACCAACCCCAAGTTCTGTTAGACTGAGAGTTCATCTATTTCGTCGTATTTATCTTTTACTGATGCAAGGATGTCCATTTACAGAGGCCAATACGCCATAAGCCGCGGCGTTTCTCTGAAGATCAAAGGAAGATAATCGACGAAGAAGTGGACAAAATGTTCATCGACGCACTCTGTTCTCTTGACGAACTTCAAGAGAGCAGAAACGATTGGGGCAAATGAGAGCAGCTCATTAAAAGTTTCAAGAGACAAAAATAAACACCATGAAAACGCAAACCACGAAGTTGTAATCGATGAGCGTGGAACGGTCACTCCAACCACATTTAACTTTATGCATTCCCCAATCAAACCAACGCTTGGAACTTTCCAACATGGCTTCCGCATTTTTTTCGTCTTTTCAAGTTGCTTCGTTGAGCGATGAACAAGCTTTTTTCTGGCCCCTTCGTCGTAGCATTCCATTCACTGCCTTTCGAACAGCATCGCGTGCAACGCTTGAATTTGCGGGTCTGCTTTTTGGCCAAGTACCTATGAATGCGTTTCGCAACAGCGTCTAATTGCTTAGTAGTATAAGCCCTCGACCGTAGCATGGACAGCTCCTTTGCTCGCCTGAAGTAGATGAAGAGCTCAGTCCTTGGAACCAACAACCAATTCGGCGCTTTGCGCTTTCGCTCTCGCACTGCTCACTTGAGGGGATCTTGGGACGTACCGAATAGGGACCAGCCGCGTCTATCAGTGAAGCAGAGCTGTTCTCCAACGACGGGTCTTTAGATGTAGCGAGTTGGGGGTGATTGACCACTGAATCTTTGATACGTTCTTCAATTGTTGTACATTTAGCATCTTGTCCATCATTCCATACTCCAGTCATGACGCCAAAAGGAAGTCAGTAGGAACCTACCTCCCTCCCCAGAAGTTGGACGGTTCCAAATAGCCATAGCGCCTTCGAGCGATCTTGGTATTTCCATCTGACGAAATGATTTTTCCTTGATGTGACCCTCGAGCGAACAAACGTCTTTTAGTCAACTTTGAAATCCGCGAACCGAAAATTGGGAAGAAAAATAAGTTATGAGAGTTCTTGAACGCTTTTTCTCTAAATTTTCTTTTGGTTCATTTTTGGTGGAAGTTTGTGCCTTGAATTTTTTTGAGAAGGTACCGCAATGAATCATCGAAAGACGCGCTACAGTCACTAGAGACCTCCACAATAACTGCACTTTAAAATGGCTCCCCTTAAAATGGCCCCCCTTAAAATGGCCCCCCTTAAAATGGCCCCCCTTAAAATGGCCCCCCTTAAAATGGCCCCCCTTAAAATGGCCCCCCTTAAAATGGCCCCCCCTTAAAATGGCCCCCCTTAAAATGGCCCCCCTTAAAATGGCCCCCCTTAAAATGGCCTCCTGAAGATCAAATGTGATGAATGCCAAGCGGATTTTGTATCAAGAATATCCAAAATGCAACCTAAGAGTAACACCAGGTGAGTTTCTGTTGCCGTAACAGTTGCTGCATTATTCTCTTTTTTTGGCAGGAACACATCTACACATGTTTTGAATGCGAAGCGGAGTTTTCAGAAATATCAAGTCTCCAAATGCACATTCGAGTAAACACGGCCTTCCTCATGCTTCTCCTCACCTTTTGAAGTGTGTGGATGTGTTCCTTGCCTCGCTTTCTTGTTGACGCTTGTCTAAATAAAAGTTCGGTTTTGGAACAAAAACTCGCTTCGCCAGTTTTCCGAGTATGACCTGCCTTGCATCCAATAGTTGGTGGCCTTGTGGTGCGGACGTGTTTGGGGACGTATTATGGGGTATTGAATCTTTTCGGGCCTTCGACCATTTTAACCATGTTGTGCGTCGCAGCACCCATCCTTCGGTTCTTCTTGCCGTTGTTGCACGACGTTGGTCTTCCGTGCGTCTTCACAGATTTAAATTTGTACAGTGTCTTGGCCGTCTGCAAACGACTCTCTTTGGCCTTCTTTATCTGCACCGCTTATTGGCTGATGGACGGACCACACTGTCTCATTAGGGTATGAATATCTGTGAATCAACCGAACTTGTACCGATCACAAAAAAGAAGAAACACGGAGGATTTCAGAGCCGCGAAATTGAACCAAGCGAGCAAGTGTGAACTGGTTCATCATAAAACCAAAGCATAGCCATCGCTTGCCCTGTTGTTTTCTTCTTGATGCTTCCTCTTCGTCGTCGAGATTGAAGAATTGATAGGAGAGTTCTTAGCAAAGCTTCCAAAAGATGAAGCACACTGAACTACCAAAAATAGAACAAAATCATCTCAAACTGGTGTTTAGTCTTTAAAATTATTTCATACAGCTAAATGTTGCTCGAACTCTCAACTAGTGTTTAAAGATATTGCAGCGCTCGACTACAGCCTTCGTACATGTGTTCAGTCCCTCTGAGTGCCATTGTGCATTGAAGCAGATAATACCTTGGTGCTGAATGGGTGAATGAAATCTCACCAAACTGATCTTCTCAATTCTGTAGGCAATTTTGTCCTTTGCATGCAAGCACACGATGAACTGACACACTTATACATGATAAACACCCAGAGTACTGACGACACTATTGACTTTTACACGAATGAGGCATCTGCTTCTTGTTCGCGTTCGTTGACTTGTTGGGGAGCATCTCCGTCGGTCACATCAAGGTCGTCTCCGTTATAACTGCCTTGGCGTGTCTTGAAATAGTATGCACCTCCTGCTGCACCAGCAACTGCCAGGCCTCCCGCAGCCGATGCAACACCAATCAGAACCCCGTTTGCTCCGCCTGCAGCCGGTTCTGTTGTCGTACTCGCTGAAGGGGTTCCACCTGTTCTGGTTGTAGTGACTGAGTTGTTGCTTGTGGCTACCCTTGTTGTTACAGTTCCAACCTTTGTTACAGTGACATCCTCTGTTGCTGTTGCAGTGACATCATGTGTTGCTTTTGCAGTGACATCCTCTGTTTCTGTTGCTGTTGCAGTGACATCCTCTGTTGCTTTTGCAGTGACATCCTCTGTTTCTGTTGCTGTTGCAGTGACATCCTCTGTTGCTGTTGCAGTGACATCCTCTGTTGCTGTTGCAGTGATATCATCTGTTGCTGTTGCAGTGACATCGTCTGTTGCTGTTACAGTGACATCCTCTGTTGCTGTTGCAGTGACATCCTCTGTTGCACCCCCTGTCATAGTTTCCTCAGCCCCAGTAAGACCCTGGGTTACCGTCCCAACCTCTGTGGCAGTTTCATAATCTGTGAAGCTTTCGTCACCTGTTGCAGTTACACTCCCGGCACTTGCGCCTGTTCGAGTATATGCTGTTGGTGAAGTCTTTGCAGTTGCCGTACACTTTCGGGTTGCTGTGAATGTTGCGCTACCAGCGTCTGTGGCAGTTTCATAATCTGTGAAGCTTTCGTCACCTGTTGCGGTTCCGGCACTTGCGCCTGTATATGCTGTTCGTGAAGTCTTTGCAGTTGCCGTACACTTTCGGGTTGCTGTGAATGTTGCGCTACCAGCGTCTGTGGCAGTTTCATAATCTGTGAAGCTTTCGTCACCTGTTGCGGTTTCGGCACTTGCGCCTGTATATGCTGTTCGTGAAGTCTTTGCAGTTGCCGTACACTTTCGGGTTGCTGTGAATGTTGCGCTACCAACCTCTGTGGCAGTTTCATAATCTGTGAAGCTTTCGTCACCTGTTGCAGTTACACTCCCGGCACTTGCGCCTGTATATGCTGTTCGTGAAGTCTTTGGAGTTGCCGTACACTTTCGGGTTGCTGTGAATGTTGCGCTACCAGCGTCTGTGGCAGTTTCATAATCTGTGAAGCTTTCGTCACCTGTTGCAGTTACACTCCCGGCACTTGCGCCTGTATATGCTGTTCGTGAAGTCTTTGCAGTTGCCGTACACTTTCGGGTTGCTGTGAATGTTGCGCTACCAGCGTCTGTGGCAGTTTCATAATCTGTGAAGCTTTCGTCACCTGTTGCAGTTACACTCCCGGCACTTGCGCCTGTATATGCTGTTCGTGAAGTCTTTGGAGTTGCCGTACACTTTCGGGTTGCTGTGAATGTTGCGCTACCAGCGTCTGTGGCAGTTTCATAATCTGTGAAGCTTTCGTCACCTGTTGCAGTTACACTCCCGGCACTTGCGCCTGTATATGCTGTTCGTGAAGTCTTTGCAGTTGCCGTACACTTTCGGGTTGCTGTGAATGTTGCGCTACCAGCGTCTGTGGCAGTTTCATAATCTGTGAAGCTTTCGTCACCTGTAGCAGTTACACTCCCGGCACCTGCATCCCGAGTATATGCAGTTGCTGAAGTCTGAGTTGCTCCGGTTCCGGCGGGTGAATCCTTCGTTACTGTTGCTGGAGCTGTTCCAGTTTGTCCATGGCATGAGCATCCGCTGGTTGCTGTTTGGGTCTCTGTCCCTGTGTGAACGTCACTTGCAGTTTCTGTCACTGAAGTCTTGCCACTTTGTGTTGCTGAACTCGTTTCGCTTTCTGTCACTGAAGTCTTGCCACTTTGTGTTGCTGAACTCGTTTCGCTTTCTGTCACTGAAGTCTTCCCACTTTGTGTTGCTGAACTCGTTTCGCTTTCTGTCACTGAAGTCTTGCCACTTTGTGTTGCTGAACTCGTTTCGCTTTCTGTCACTGAAGTCTTGCCACTTTGTGTTGCTGAACTCGGTTCGCTTTCTGTCACTGAAGTGTTTCCACTTTGTGTTGCTGAACTCGTTTCGCTTTCTGTCACTGAAGTGTTTCCACTTTGTGTTTCTGAACTCGTTTCGCTTTCTGTCACTGAAGTCTTCCCACTTTGTGTTGCTGAACTCGTTTCGCTTTCTGTCACTGAAGTCTTGCCACTTTGTGTTGCTGAAGTCCTTCCAGTTTCTGTTACTGATGTCGTTTCAAATCCATGCGTGGATACAGCGGGTGCACGAGTCATGGGGATGGTACTTGACGACGTCGCTGATGAGCGTGCCGTTGTAGCTGGTGTCCTCGTAGCTGCTGTCGTTGTTGTTGTAGCTGGTGCAGCTGTTGTTGTACTCGACGTAGGCGTTCGTGAAGGCACGACATCCCCTGATATTTCCTTGAAGTACCCAACGCTATGATTATCGGATTCATAGCCTGATGGCCCAATTTGACTCAAATGAACTTCATCAAAGACGCAATCTTGACAGAAAAAATTCACCTGAGACCAATTCATAAAACAAAAAACTGAATCAGTGCAAACTCACAAAGACATAAGGTTCTATGTCGTTTGGGCGATTGGAGAATGTTGGATTTCCTGAAAGGGATTGGGACTCTCAAAAGTCATCATCTCATAAATCCTACCAAAATACTCCTGGCGATTTTGCACACGCTCCAAAACATCATCAGGAGTGAAAGTAAAGATAGTCTTTCCTTCATGCCTCAATTCTAGAATATTTCCAGAATCCAATGCACTCAACCAGTAGCCGAAATAGTTGACTCCGTTTTTCCCCTTCTGGTGCAATCGTAGACTGTACGGTTGACTGCTGCTCGCGACGGCATATTTTCCTAAGAGTCACGAGTTTAGTTTCAGGGCCTGCCAACACGCCTACCTCCACCGTAAGCCCCTCCAAAGATGTCTCTGTCCTTAATCGTTACGCCATCGTACGTTCCGCGGATCAAATCGTGAGGAAGGTTAAAGTTCGTTTGGACGACCCCGGAATGGTGTCCAGTGCTCATATGGCTGAACGTTTCCACCCCCTGCACGCTCAACGATGGATCAAGGAAATGTGTTGGAATCCCTTACCAAGTAATCAAATGTCGCCGATGATTGCATTCTTCCAGGCTCCTCAATCGTCACAAGAACTCCGGAACCCTCTTGAAAGGGACGAAGGGTGAATAAATCAGAAAGTCCCCGCTTGAATTCTCCTACCTCTACGTGACGTTGTTGAGGCGGTTCTTGGCGTAGTAGTTGATGTAGTGGTGGTGGGGGTCGTAGTGGAAGTAGTAATCACCTCCCCTGATATTTCCTTGAAGTGCCCAACGCTATGATTATCGGATTCATAGCCTGATGGCCCAATTTGACTCAAATGAACTTCATCAAAGACGCAATCTTGACAGAAAAAATTCACCTGAGACCAATTCATAAAACAAAAAACTGAATCAGTGCAAACTCACAAAGACATAAGGTTCTATGTCGTTTGGGCGATTGGAGAATGTTGGATTTCCTGAAAGGGATTGGGACTCTCAAAAGTCATCATTCATAAATCCTACCAAAATACTCCTGGCGATTTTGCACACGCTCCAAAACATCAGAAGGAGTGAAAGTGAAGATAGTCTTTCCTTCGTGCCTCAATTCTAGCATATTCCCAGAATCCAATGCACTCAACCAGTAGCCGAAATAGTTGACTCCGTTTTTCCCCTTATGCTGCAATCGTAGACTGTACGGGTGACTGCTGCTCGCAACGGCATATTTTCCTAAAGGCCACAAATTTAATTTCAAGGCACATTCGCGTGCGTACCTCCGCCAGCTCCCCCAAAAATGTCTCTGTTCTTGATCGTGACACCTTCATACATCCCACGAATTCGATCATGAGGAAGGTTGAAATTGGTATGGACTCTGCCATGATGTCCAGCGGTCATGTGATTGAACGTTTCCACCCCCTGCACGCTCAACGATGGATCAAGGAAATGTGTTGGAATCCCTTACCAAGTAATCAAATGTCGCCGATGATTGCATTCTTCCAGGCTCCTCGATAGTCACGAGGACGTCAGCAGATGCACCAACGAGAACAATCAGCAGAATAGCCAGACGCTTCATTCTCAAGGTTCTATTAATTAAACTTGAGTTTTCGTGCATGCGAGGCTGTCCCGGCTCTCAGATGTCCGTTGCATGCCTACAGGTCCTTGACTGTACTCACGCTCTAGTAGTTTGGTGTCACCGAGTAATTCTCTGTTCCATCGTGAGCTTAAACCGCTCAATGTTCCATAACCATCTTGAACCACCTCGGCGGAATAGCAGACTCAGTTATCTCGCGTTAAGACTCAAGCAAGCAACACAGCAGCGAGAAAAGCGACAGCAGCACATAGGGGCTTTGCCACAAAAGCGAAACTATTTTTACTTAAGCAAGCAACACAGCGCCGAGGAAAGCGACAGCAGCACTTAGGGGCCTTGCGAAACTATCTTTAACCTTCTTCGAATTTTTTCCTTTCTTTTTGGTTCCTTTTTTCGTCGTTTCTTCATCAGAGTCGTCTTTTCCAGATGACCCCGATCCCTTCCGAGTGGTTTTCTTTTTTGACGGTTTCTTGGTTGTTACTGTCGTCTGGCTATCGAAGCCACTCCCAGTGATTTTGACGTCCATACAATTCTTAAAATGCTCTCCAGCGCATTTAGGGTTTGGGCAGTTTTTCCCACAGGAACTCCCAGTAGTGGAAACGGCCATTCCGCACTTGGGATCCTCACTTTTCCAGTTTGGAAATGAAACCCCTTCAGGAACTGGATCGCAACTATTGCCTAAATTTCGAAAAAAAAGGATTCAAAAAACAAGCTTTTTGATAATTTGTCAAGAAACTTGTCATGGGAGGATACCAAGAAACGACTTACCAGTTTGCCAGTACCAGCGAAGAATGCCTGAAAGAACGAGAGTGAAAGCCAGAATATCACGGACTAGGTACTGCTATGTGTGGAAGGCGATGAAGCAAGCCTAGTCAATCGACACGTACAATGGTTGCAATCACCAAAATCCTTGGGTATAATCCAGCGAACTTTTTGGGGTTTGCCATAACCGATACATGCATTTTCTTGGAAAATTGCTGAAAAAAAGAACACAGTTGTAAGTACCAGCAATGGCGCAATGCATCAGACCGAGCTCTGGATGTTTCTTCACATATGGGCTGTAGCGCTCGTCTGTTGGGTCTCGTTTCAGTCTGACTTTAAAACAATCTTCTGTGATTGTTTTTCCACTGGGATGGCAGAGTTCTGACGAATACGACTTTGGAGAATGGCTCTGGCTTGCCACATACCGAACACGTAGAATCCTTTGTGAGTCGCGGTAAGAAGAACCTCCGACTCCCAGATCGAGCCAGCCTTCAATTCAGTTAATGGTGTTTTAAAGGACGACTTCACCTTCGCGGCAGATTCGTCTGAAGGTCATTGCCCCAGCTCACCTATAAAAAAGAACGGCATTTTATCGAGACGACAGTACTGCTATATTCTACCTAGCATGGCTGATGGACTTACCGCACACTCCTTTCCCATTAGTTCCCTGCTGGTCTCTGAAAATTGATAAGTTATCACAAGACAATTAATACAATTAATTGATACAATTAATAAGTTAATTGATAAATCACAGAACAACTGATAAGTAGATAAGTTTTTACCCCGAATGTTGAAGTGTGTTTCTTGCTGGAATGTTCTTGACGTATGCATGTCCCTCACCAAGAGGACAAAAAACGGTTGCAAGGAAAGCCGCGAAAAAACAGGAAAAATAAAAACGCGAAACCATTCTTGAAAAATTAGATTGTGAAAGTGAGCGAATCTATAAAGCCATAAGCCATAAGCCATGTAGACATGCAGATCTTCGATCGTGTCAGGCATGACAGATAACGGACATCGTCTTGCCTACTATGCTGCCGAACAGATCGAGGTCGCTTAAAAAATGCGCAGGGGCGTTGCTTGTGGCATCCCCTCGGCTTTTTTGTCTGGGGGACTCTGAGGGCGAGCTTCAGCATTTCGAAGAGCTCCAAGGAAATAGTCTTTCGCTCCAAGGAATTGGTCTTCCCAAATTTCCGAAAATTCGTGGTCTGAAAGTTCTCAGCAATGCCAGAAGCAATCCAAGCAGCAAAGATGAAAGTGTCGGAGAAGCGACCAGCACTGCAGTCAAGAAGGAAGAGAAGCATCGGCTGGAGCGAAAACTTGAGAAGAAACCAAAAAGTCATCACGAGAAGTGGCTTCCTCCCAGTGAAAGAAAACCTTGTCCCGAAACGACGGAGGAATCAAAAAAGGATCACGCGATGTGGTTTCCCCCTTCTGAGAGACCGTCGAAGCAGAAGTGTTACTTTCCCACAACAAGTGGAGAAAATACAGCAAGCGGAGAAAATACAGAAAATCTTGAACTTATGAAGAAGTATTTGACCAAACAGCATTGCCGAATATCGGTCCCAAAGAACCCGAAAACGGGATCGGCGAGGCCGACGAGCTCAACATCACGAAGATAGGCAGAAGAGCTCAACATCGTCGGCCTTATGCAACATCTAGTTCTAATTTTGGTGTCAATATTCGCTCCTTAACGTCACCAGCGAGAAGTTAAATTGTTAATTCATGATTGGAACACTTTAAACTAGAAACTACGTGCCAAATGGTTGTCATGTGAAAAGAAAGGTGGTAATGTGCCGTTTTTTGTCGTGGTCCTTCTCAGTTTTTCAACGGCAAGACATGAATTCATCCACTGAGATGGACGAGCATCGGAGGAAGAGACTTACACAATGTACTGGGCTTCTGCTGATTGCAGCGCCTGCCATTGGAGAGAATTTTTATTCGGCGCTCTCCACCTTTGATGATTGTGAGGAACTTCAAGCCAACGTGAAAATCCGCCACTTCAACCCTCTCTGCTGCGGAGAGCCGCCTGGTTCTCCACCTGCTCCAACTTTCCGGGCTGCTGCAGCTTCACAGCGTTCTTCAACTTCCGGGGCTGCAAGTTTCCAAACTCCTTCGACGAGTTTCCGGCGAAGTTTCCGCGCTTCGAAAGCTTCCGTTTGCAGCCCCCAAAGTCCTGCTTCGAGCTTCAGGCGACGCGCATCTAAGACTTCAATCCGACGGGAAGTCCCGCCTGAATTACCAAGTGAAGTTCTTTCACCTAAACGGTCAGCAGTGGAACGGTTGGAATCTCTGCTCCGACGGAAGCCAAATGCCTCAAAAGAAGCCCCACTTGAGCCAAAGAACTACGGGACTGATCTGATTTTATGAAGTGCTTCTTGGATCGCAGCACACAGACATCTTGGCTCTGTCGAAAGACGGGCGAAGACCGCAGCACTCAGACACGTTCGGGTGTGTTCTATGGTCTGTTGAAAAAGGAAGCACTACGAGAACACCACTGTTGGGTACTCCAATGCGAGCAACTCTGTAGTGGAGCAACACTGCAATGCAGTGGAGCAATCCAGAATACTATGGATGAATAGGCCACGAGGCTGACAAAAATATCAATGGATATTTCTTCATTTTTTTAACAAGAGTATGGAGTTTTTATTTCCGAACATTTATTGCAACGTCGGGCAATCGACATAAAAAGCGCACTAGAATTGAAATCAGAGGAACACCTGGCAGCATTGAACTACCGGAAAAAAGTAAAAGAGTCAAATCTGTCCATAAAGTAAACAAAGAATGAAGTCCCTCTCGATGGCCTGTGTGACTGTTAAGGAACATTATGGAAGAGCACCCACACGCAGTCCTTATGGAAGAGCACCCACACGCAGTCCCTATGGAAGAGCACCCACACGCAGTCCTTATGGAAGAGCACCCACACGCAGTCCTTATGGAAGAGCACCCACACGCAGTCCTTATCTTCGTCCGGATGTTGCTTGAATGCTTTCTGGATTTAAATAGATGACCTCAGTCGTTATATCGTCAACGACGCTTCCTTCCTCCTGAATCCAACTGGAAGGCACATACACAAGTATTACCATCAAATATATGTATTATCATCAAACATCTATACTGTCACTATATTACCATCAAGTATATGTATTATTCATGCAATGACACTCAACGCAACGTTTACCGGTTCCATGATTCTCGAGCAACAATGTCTGCTGCTACTTGAACTCCTCGTAGACCATTTGCATGAACAACATCAGCCACATCTGATGAAGACAAAAACTCCCAAACACCATCAGAACACAAAACTATAAACAAGTCGCGATCCGGATTAATCGCATGTTCTGCAAAGAAGAAAAATCAGAGAGCGTTAAAGAAGAGAGAGAGTCGATTGTATTCCAACAATAGAGAGTCGAAGTCATCATGTGAGAGAGGGATTATGTGAAAAAGTTGCCCAAAGCAAGTCGCCCCGAGTCGAGGCGAGATGCAACGTATTGCAGTGTGAAGGGAGAGAAAATTCTGTCGTAGCGACCTACCGGAAACATCTGGCTCGCAAATAACTCCAGCCTGGGTGCCAACGGTGTCACCAATGGCTCTGGGAAGACAAGTACAAATTTGACAGCTCGTTGTTTGAGTTGTTACCTCGACATGGCAAGTCCGGGATATAGCCGCCCCTTCAGGAACACTCTATAAGGGATGTCGCCTTCTAGTCGACGCACTTGGCCACCTGTCAGCAGAGCCTGATACAACTTCAAATAAGCAATACCTTACCCGACGCTACTATGCGTTTCTTCTCGAATTCGGAATTTGGTTTGTGATCAGTGGTCAAGTCAACGGCCTCGACTTTGCGTCCTGTAAAGGGCAACACAAATCAGCCGTCGATAACAGAGCGCCCAAACGAGAAAGTGGAGATATGTCGCCATAAGAGAGAGCCATAGAAAAGAGCGGGAGCATCTCGGTTTACCGTTTTTGGATGAGCGTCCCAGAACGCATCTGGAATCGCCAACATGAGCAACGTACAACTTGTTCAACGTCTTTCGATGAAGCACGA